TCTAGAATTGTTTTGGGTAAGCCTGATTTTGAGACAAGCTAGTTACTATTGTAAGAGGCGATTAGTTTGTCTAAGATCAAGCGGCGAGACAAACTAATCAATTTTTACTACTTGGCTGCTTAAAATTGTCTAGATTTAGCTTTCCCCTCCCAAATTCTTGGCCTAGATCCGACCCAGACCTGGGTATCCACGCCGGAAAACAACTACTTTACCGGCTTGAAACACCTTTCACTCCGTTAACGTAAGAACTGATTTTTTTAGAAATAAATTCAAGGTCGCAATTTGAAGTGAATGGCAGTGGGCCGACCTCTGATTCTGCTTTCCTCGATTAAACGCTGAGCATATCGCCTCCCGAACTCAGCCGCGTGCAGTAAAATGTTGTTTCTGAGATCTTGACCACTCTCAGCGCTTTATCAGAATTTTCAATTTGGGTGAAGATGAGCTCGTTCGAAGGCAAACCAGGGGACTTGGTCAGGCGCAATGTCTGGATTAGATTGTAACTTCCTTTTTGGTATAAATACTCCGGGCTACGCGCGGACCATTGCAGCCCTCCGCTTCGCTGCGGGTGCAAACGGTCTTTCTAAGCCCTCATTTGGCATGGTTTTCCATGCGTCTCACCCTCGAAACGAAGAAGAACTTCAAGTGTACTCGACGCTCTTCCGGTTGTACCGGTATATCCATGATTTCTGTCCAGTTTTTAAATTTATTTTTAAAATTTAACTGTACTCGAGACTAGTCTCTTCCGCAGACGAGTGCCAACACGCGAGTGTCCTACCAATACTGTGATTAACCTTGTCTACATGTAGTACTCGTCCATCTGCCGTTCCTCTAGAATCTGTCGAATCAGATACCTGTACTCGGGTTTCTGCTTCGTGTACTCGGGATCAGTCCGTTTCCGGCAAACCAGTGTCCAAGCAAAAGCTCTCTTGGTACAACGACTGCATCAAACCTCCTGTGGAACACGTGGCAGCAGTTTTGAAAGCTTCGCATCTGCCTTCTTCGGATACCCGAGTATCGTCTAGCATCAACAGGACAAGTTCGGTTTGGCCGTTGTGGGCTGAATGCTCTAATGATCATTTCGGCCAGGATACATGGGTCTTTGTGTAACATCTTAACGTTGATCATCTTGGTACCGAAAATAATATGACTCTTCCACGCCGGCCGCACAGCGAGAATCGACCATACTGATACGCTCCCGATCTCATACAGAAGTTGCATCATGTCGACGTTACGTGCATCCATAAACATTCCTTGTTGGCGGCAGTGGGAGGTGGTTGGCACTTACTAAAAAGGCATCTCACGGCATCGAGGCTCCTCGTTCGTTGGGATTTCATCACCGCCTCGGAAGCAGCGTCAAACGTAGAGGACGACACACAATCGGTGTTAAGCAGAAATACCATCGTGTCAGTATATCCCCGTTCCGTTGAGCAGATGAATACCTCTCTGATTAACCTAGCGTTATGCTGTCCCTTCTCGTACAAATATTTGATGGCGTTTGTGGAGCCATCTTGACACGCCAACCGAAGCAGTACATGTACTTCTTTCTCGGAGATAGCATCGATGTCAAGCTTCCAAATCCGATCCGCCAAGGTGTAGTACTTCTTATCAATTGCCGCAGCAAATGCATCTTCCAGATCCCACATAGAACCACTGAAACTTAGCAAATACTCCACCACGACAGTGTACTCGCCCGAAATTGCACGGACCAAGGCGTCTGAATTTTTCGATTAGCCTTCCACTGCTTTCTTACGACGTGTTGTATTATGAGCTTGACAGTGTCAAGATGGCTGCGTCTCTCACAACTTGCCGAGTGCGTAAAAACATTCGTAAGGTTAAAAATCTTTTGAAGCAAAAAGATGAAGGTGCTCGTATGATCATGGGCTCCAGCTGATTCGACGGTTTTTTTGTATCATCATCAACTCGCCGTCTCCACGATAGATAAAGTCTTCGTGTAAAATTTTCACGTACTTCAATTGTCCATTACCGGCAGCCATCACAAGATACTTCAGCGCTTCTTCAGGGTTGTGTACGCTTAAGAGTTGTTTCAACCATGTCGCTTGACCGGTTCTTGCCGCCTCCACGATAGCCTCGTCAGTTGTCAGCAACAGAGAATCAACTCCAAAACGTGAAGCAGCGTCAGGATCTGAGCGGGGAAGCGGGCGTTTTTGAGGCGCTCATAGCAGCAAGAAGGAACATGATCAGCAGCATGTCTACACCGGGCTGACTGAAAAGTTTTCCAGGCATTATGAAAATGAGGTTTTAATCGAAAAAACCTAGAATGAGGTTTTAAACAAAGAAAAGTGCATGTTTCCCAGCAGCTGGACATTTGCCCATCACGCGTCCCAGGCAAAGTGAAAATTTTACTTTCCTAGCTTCATTTTGTTCTGCCACCGTTGGTCCGTACTCGGCTGATGACGTCTCGCGCCTCCCCACCACCTTCTTTGGTACGTTCGTTGCTTCCGCTGTCACTCACTTGGCAGCTCCTTACTCTTCGCATGTTGTTCTAGCACAACCCGA